AAAACATGCATTTGTGTTTTTCTTCCGTCCGAAATTTGATTTGAGTGCCGTCACTTCATCTGTCAGTCTGTCGACTGTGGCCTTCACGTTTTCCGGTGGCTCATCCTTATGAACTTCCTGCGTTCGCACCGCCTCAATTTCCTGATCGATGAACTGCCTCACAACTTCGGCTAGGGCCATTACGTCCATGGTACGTGCCACATTGATGAGTTTCGCTTTCTCACGTATGTCTTCCGGGAGGCTCCCCGTGAAACGGTCAAGGAGAAGTTCCGAGCGAGCATTCTCATCCAATGTCGGTAGTGCGCGATCCAATAGCCCACGCAGGGCCACGGCATGCGAAAGTGGGTCCNNNCCGTCCGTATTCCGGCCAGCTCCGCCACATCCTCGAACTCCTCCAGGAACATCCGCACATCCCCATCCTCGAAGGCTGCTGGCCACGGAACCTTCATCCTGATCCTGGCGAAGGCACCAATTGTTATATTCCGAAAAGGCGGTGCTGGTCGAGGAGAGTTCTTTATTGCAGAATACAGATTAAAGGTCACTAATTTTGCATGCATAACACGGAAACCTCATCAGAAACATCCCATCGCAACAGTAGTATCCTTATCATAAGTCGTCTTTCAGTGCATGGTGAGGATGTTACCATAGGCGCGACAGTTATCCCCGTAGTCAGGGTCTACGGCGATGTTTCCGTGTGTTCACCTGCTGCTGCTAACAGAGAATCATTGTATCTGGGGTTCTGGAACTCTACCAGCGTCAGTCTTGGATTGCCTTCGCTGCTGTCTTTGGAGGTTTCTTTCGATAGCCCCAGACACAGAATTCACTTGATGTGGACCTGCCCTGGGATATTACCGAGGCGCAAGTCCCTAATGGAGTAGGTCATGTTTGCGCTTGCTTGTCTCCCGGTTGTGCGGTTCGGCCAGGCCCCTTTATCACCACGTGGCGAATTCTGTCCAAACCTATGTCTGTGTTCGCTTCCAAACTTCTTAATATGTTACCTAGTGAGTTAATTACTGTGGTTAACCCGTCGGTCGAGTTCTCACGGTTATTTGGTCTGCTATGGTGCAATTTCAACGGAGTGAATAATCCCTTTTATCACAGACTTACGATATTGTTGAAATGGGATGTCGGAAGTGAACTCATCTCTTTTTTTGGAACCATCAAGTTTTGTTGTTTGGATTTGGATGAACATCCCTCGTTGATCATTTTCTGCTTCCTTGCTCTGGTATTATTAGCGGGGTTATGGGTTTGTCCTAAAGATTGTGCCTTATTCGCATTGTCAAGCCTGGGGTTCCGGATCACGACAAAATTACTGTGGGCTTAAATATCTGATTGTCCACCTGTATGTACTGCCTTACCCGAAGCCTCTAAAACGTTTGATACCATTTCGTTTACATCAGTCACCGTACATTTGTGGCAGGCCAATGAGGGCGTACTGGATTTCGCCTTTATGGAGGTCATGCCTCGATTGTAGGCCCACTTTATAAACTAGTGGATGCCAATGCCCCTAGCTGAGAGCTGGCCGCATTTGACATTAAACCAAAGTTGGCACGCTTCAGACCGTATGCCCTGTTTAACCACCGTAGAACATCCTACCCTGGCACAAGGGAAAAGGGTGGTCACCTGCTTAGTTGACACCACAGTTTTTACTCGGTTTCTGCGTCTGTCAGCCATGAAACCAGCAGTTACTCATTGCGGGTGAATCAAACGTTAAAATGTTGCTAACATAAGCCTAAGACCCGAAACTTTTGACGGACTTGACACCATCCGGTTTGCATTCGTTGAAACGTTTCACCAAATGGGTTTAGAATGGCTTCTGAATTTGCAAGCTGATTTCTACTTTAACTCCAATTATCATATTGGATGTATTCTGACGAATGTAAAAGGCACTCTTGTAGTTCGATTCAACTGGTTGACCACTCTTCAAACTCACTTAGCTCATAAGAGAATTCCGGGGTTCATATCCTGAAAGGGTTGATGAAAGTGTACCGCAGGGAAGCCATAATAGAAGCACCATTATAATACTTCTCTTGGCATATGTATAACTGAACTAACGGATGATTGTGCGTAAAGATGAAGTCTGAAGTAGACTCAGTCCAAATTCAGATTGCTAGCATGCTTTGGTATTAACAGGTTTGCATTATCACAACCCTGCCAAGATGTCAATCATTCTTAATCGATTTCACCATTAAAGAGGCAGAACAGATAAATGACAACCCAATCAATCTGTTGTAGACTAGTGCAGACCGAGTGGAAATTCTCCTCGCTGCAGGGTGATTGAAATCATCCCAACTCGAAATCGGATCAATCATTTATTTAGACCTTCTTTGATCGATAGCAAATCATTTGGTAAGTGACCTCAAATGCCCCGTTTATGCTGCGATTGGACATGTCAGTCCTATTTATCTGGTATGGATCGAACATTGAATCATCTCCGATGATCGTCTGATTGATGAGTTCATATAGTTCGTCCCGTAGGAAGGATCAGCCTCACGAGCAAGTTAATGAATGCATATTATATATGGCATTCCAAAGATGAATGCTACCCCCCAACAAAATGCAAAAATTCGAAGAGAAAATTTGCACTGCACAATGATCAATAAAATTTCTCCTCACAACGTACAGTGACAGCCGATGAGTGAATATATTTAGTGGTTAACTGTGTTTCAGATGTTTTTAAATGTCACTTTGTTGGTTAGCGCACCTAGATGGTAGTAATGACACGAAGTAGCAAAACACAAAAGAAAATTAGCCTTCCTTCACTTGAAGCGGGTTGATTGTGAGGTTATCTGCAGTATTCTACCGACTATTAAAGTAGAGAGTGTACAATACCACTGGACCCGTGAGGAAACCGCAATCAATAGAAAAGTAGTCGCACTTTGAACTCACGATCTACAATACAACACAATTTGTTCATACTGATTAACACATGACAGTGATTATTAGCACCAATCCTCGATCAACTCTGAGTTGTTTGTTGCTCAAATGCAGGTGATTTGGACATTTGCGATAGATTAGGACAAGGGGAAGTCTCAGTGATTTGTTCATTCTAGTTTTTATGTTCTGCAATCAAAGGTCATTAGCGCACCCAGATGAAAACCTAGGATATGATTGAGGCTGCCAAGAGAGTGCATGCATATTTGTTTGAAATAAGATTCACGATTGTGGTGGACAGTCTGCAGTATGGTGATTTCTAATGAATTCAAATTAATGTCGTGAAATCAACATTCCTCGCCCTTAAACCACTCCTGAATGCTGAATTCGATAAGCATATAAACCTATGTTCTACTTGGAAAACGTTTGAGCTACTGAAAGTATTTTGCCACAAACCTTGGGAAAGATGTCTTTTTATTTCTCCAAGTGCTTACTTGACATGCATTGCCACTCCACATGTCGGGTCTCAGTTTGCCGGTTACCACTGGTTTACTAGCGGTTTACCAGCCTCTATGGAATCACTTCTTCTGCTTTGTGTGTAATACAGTGCAGAACATCAAATCACATGTTTCCTTAATTTTTCAGCAGATTACTGTGAGATTTCAGTTTCGTGCTCAGGGTTACACCGTTTCTGGTAACTAAAAATTGCTTTCATTACTTTTGAATGTAGAATAAATTTTGGAAAACTGGATTTAATACTCACCACCATTATGTGTTGTATGGCAGCCCTTTGATTGGCCGCTTCAGCCTTCCTAAAGATTGTATAACTAATAAAAGGAAGTAAAGATGAAAAGACTGCGTAAAAGAATTTCACTGAGAGAATTTGAGAGGTTTCTCAGCCTTGACAAAATTTAGATGAAAGACATTCATACGTACATGGGCCCATATGCAATCCGACCGAAAAGTCTAAGTTTACAACTAATCCGGAAAATGTCCGATTGCCATAGCACACAGACCGCGACCTTTGTCACATTAGTGCATCTTCGAGTTATACACCAAAAACAAGTACACGCTGCATACGATCCGAAGTTGATTTGCATTAGACTCTAATCCGATCCGTTTTGTGTTGTTCCGTGTGAGATGAATTGTTTCGCCGGTCCGCGACTGCTTGTATTCATCGGGATCAGCGATTTATGAATTTGCATATGCGCAAGCACAAACTAGCCAGTTGCAAATAGTATTTTTTCTAGAAACTTGTTGTTCTTCAGCAATGCTGTTGTGCAGTTGATTTACCCACGGCAGTTCAGACAACAAACGGTCGTGGAATGTGTATCGAAATGCACGAGGTTTAAAAACCCTCCTCTGCAGTTTACCATTCCGTATTTAAGTTTTAATTATGTTAGATAGAATGACTTAGTCGAGAAGCCGACACATCAAGTGATAGCTTCCCATGTGTCATTAATAGGACGATCACTAATGAAAGCTCCGCCGCACGTGTCTACATCTCAGGCATCGAATCATTTCTAAACACGACACACGAACCAGTAATCCACGGAACACAAAACAGATTCGCGGCCCAAAAGAGAATGTAGAGTAAGTGTTGACTTCACAGGCTACAACGATCTAAGTAGAGTGACGCGCAAAAAAACCCGGAAGACGGTGTCTTTCAACAAATGGGGTTCTTCTACAAAAGCGGTGCTGAAATACAGATTACAATAGTGTAAAATATGCAAACCTCAAACCGGTTTAACAAACACCGGAATCTGTGAAGCCAGTAATTCGACAAGCAGGAACTGCGAGCAANAGCAGGCTATCAATGCAGTGACAATGGGACGAATACACCGAACAATGTCAAACAAGATCACATGAATCTATGGTATTCAATGCAGGGCAGTGACCTAAAGGAAACCAATCAAAACACAGAGGGGCCGCCGTGACATGACAGTGCGGCGAACCTGTGTTTGTGTGTGTGTACACAGGTATCTGAGTCAGTCGATCATGGGCACGGGTCGATGAGATGGGTGAGATCGAGAGAGGACAACGTAGTAGAGCAAACGTACTAATAGTGCATGCATATATGTAAACGGCGTGGAGAACAGCCATAGGCACGGATCAATGGGACGATGAAACCAACAATACACGGTCAAAGGAGGACCATGGACAATAGGACAGTGGTGTTAGATGTGTGCATTTGAAGTGTCAATATGAGACAAAATTTATTCTACAGTAAGTCTCCACTGTGCAGCATTCGGTCATTCAAATCCCACGCCAAATATCGGAGATGTGAAATAGTCCATCAAATCTTACTCCGGCTTTAACACAGAAAACCACACTGACATCTCGATTATCGTCGTAAAGGAAATCTCGTTTAGGGAACAGTGACAATCCAAATCCGTTCAAATGAAAGGGTTTTTGCAAACCCGGAATTCAGTGGTTCACATTAGTCTTACTGAAACGGGATAGAGAACTGGAGGATAATTCACAAGTGCATGGTAGAAAACTTGATATGTCCGTTCATAAGTCATAGTCGTCGTTCCTCAAAATGCGATTTCGGCTTTTTTTTCGTGTGAACATTGACAGACTTAACAGAATAAAAACCAAGGTCAATTGTTTTCCGGTCCATCAAACGATACACCCTAGTTCAAATAGTAATTGATGCGATTATTTGCATGGGAGTATAACTTAAGTCTAGTGGTTTAGCCGAATCAATGTGACTACCATTAGCAGGAGCGGAATACGGGTTAAGCTATGTTTTAAACACGTTTGTTCGTAACGTTGTCGAATAGATGCCTGGAGCTGAGAGAAATGTGTCTTAATGAACAGGAATGGAAGAACTATTGCTCAAAAGCGTCTTCATAGTGGGCCATTTTTCTTTTTTGTTTTTATTTCACAATATTGTGCAACCAATTCTTAGGGTGGATAAAGTGGACAATTGAATGACAGACTTGTGCTCCAAAGAAAAGGATAGTTAGGTTACTGCCATAATAGGATTAAAAATCAACCTCCAAGTGCTTAATATCGCTTGACTGCCACCGCCCAAACAGTTTGAGGAATAAAGAAAATAGGAAGCGAATACCCAATGTGACATGTGAGACCCTACCGACTTTCTGATTTATTGATCACGATAGATCAATATTTTAGCAGCTCTCATACAGTTAATAGAAATGAAACAGAATACGGATCTCAAATCAGGAAGGTGCAGCAGGCTCAAAAATAGGAGACTGTTTGCCTAGGTTATTCACTCAAGCCACTCACAAATCCACATTTTTAATCATAATAATTCTCTTGAACTTTTTACTTTAACTCTATATGGGATAACGATACAAACGGCATTTTGGAAGAAGCCCACAGTTGATTCAAGGTCGCCAAAGAAGAAACTAGAAAGTGGAGTGAAGTGCAAGGTGCTAGGTGGAAAACTCATGTCTCACTTCAAATCAGTTGATGTGAAATGGATTGAGGTGGGAAATGTAGATCGCTCCAGCAAACCATGCTACTGAACAAAACAGTTAGTAGTCGAACTTTAAAATTTGAATTTCGCATAAACGGTGTCAAGGCTTATACGTTATTTGATTCCACATTTCAGTCGTGTTAACTGTTAGATAATTGGAAAACTTTTAAACAGTGGTAAAAATAAACTTATTTCACTGCATGTAGAAACCAAATCTTGATGAACAACCGGAGGAGGAAACATGGGGTGAGATTGGACAAGGTATTTTCATTGTACAGTATAGTAAATCGATAGTCTCTTCGCCTGAGACGCGGATTTCTAATTATTTTGCTATTCTTTCACAGAAAAACTAACTGAAGATTACCACGGCGTATTTTTGTTCCCTAGGGAGCTTCAGGTGCTTGTCTGTCTGCATTCCATTGTCTTTATACCGGGAAAAGGACATTGGTCACTTACAGTGGATTCACGACAATAATACCATTGAAAGTGACCATTTTGCTCTCCAGAATTCCGAAGCGAGTGTGAACATCAGAGGTAACAATCTCCGGTTTATAAATCTGAAGTTGTTTTTTTGTTTTCATAATATGATAAGGTAACAATGATAAAATAGCCCTGAAAATATGAGACTGATTTATTTATATGAAAGGTAGTAGTAAATTCTTGCAAGACGATTCCCTCATAGATTGATGTATTTGAACAGAAATACTCTTTTTTGTCAACTGCAGGTATTTTTAACTGCATGGTTCGTTTTAATAGCATCTCCGCATCTAGTAATTCATCCAAATTAATTGTACTAGCTTCATTCATTATCTTAGAAAACCCAACTTTTTATTTTTTGCATTGGTTTGAGTCTAGATTATGCAACAAACAAATTATGCAAAACTGTACCAATGAAATAACAGTGAATTGAACCGATAGTTATTTCAGAATGTAGTATGTTCATTTTTTACAGTGAGATAGATAGATACTATATATTGATTATTATCTTCTTTATTTAGCATCTCCTACGGTATATATTATTGCATTGACTTAAATGGTAATGCTTTCACGTGGAAAGCACGTGTGTGCATGTGACAGGACGTTTTCAAACAGAAATCACGTGAGCAACGTTATTATCCTTGAACAGTTGGAATTTCTGCGGGCGTGAATGTTGGCCTGTGACCTCATGATTACTCACTGTTTGGTTCTATTTCCCCATCGGTCATAGGATGGGTGCGTGTGGTAGTAAAAAACGTAAAGATTCAACACCTACTCCGACAGCAGGCTCAACCAATGGCATTAGAGCATCATCACGCTCCGCTATTTCAGCATCAGACAGTGGATCAGAAAAACGATCAATAACACCCTCAAGTCCCAAATCAAGTCCACCATCGAAAAAGAAAAGTTCGGAAAAAACATCCACAATCAACCGTCCAGAAAAACACAAACTCGTTCTTGTAGACAATTGGCTACCGACTAAACAGATTAATCAAACAGAGAGTGGCGGACAACACAAATCATCATACAATCGACCGGGAATAAATGACCGGTTTGTCGAATTCGCCTTATCTGGTCGTGTTTTGAGCGAGCTGATTGAGGACAACCCACCTCCAAAAGGATGGAATGAAAAGTTAATTCGAAGTTACCCAGTACAATGTACGGTTTTGTGCAAAGGAACAGAACAATCGGTGTACCAAGCAGTCATTCATGTCAACGATGAATGCTTGTCAACCAAACGTACCTTCCTTTCTTTCTATCAAATAAAACCTCATCAGATGAACCCCGAGGATTTCGTCGCTTGGTGTCAAACCAACAAGATGCACAATACAGTCGCGGATTATATAAGTCTGTACATTGCCTCCCGATTTCATGGCCCCGGTAGTACTTGTTTGCGCGGTATGATCCACGAAAAGCGACTGATAAAAATCGAAATGACGGACCGTTTCATCACACCAAGAGGTGTATACCGAGCGATTGTATTCCAAGCCCGTAGCATGCCTTCAGTATGTCGTCTAGTGAACATCTATTTGCAACGATTGAGTGCCTCTGACTATCAACGAGTGCGCTGTGCTCTTCCCGATGTGACAAAACTAAATCCGGATGACTGGAAACTGGAACGCCTACTTGTGAAAGATATCTATTCACGGCCCTAAACATGCATTCACAGACAATGGCAACCGATTTTGTATACCAATTCATTTTCCGATTTTTCAGTTGATTTTTTTTTGAGTAAGTGGATTACTTTTTATTTCATCATTTTACCTTTCCCTTATGAGTAGTTTATTTCAATTGTTAAATAAATTCATTGAACAAAACCTACCATGGTTTTCGTATCATGCGATGCTTAGTCCCAGTGATAATAAGAATCCTAATAGTGAGTTTTTTAGTTCATTATGTACGTGAGGTTTTTTAAGTGTATTGCTTGGGACTTGGGGGACTGCCTGTGCGCTTGTATATCAGAACTGAGTTCAAGCTACGCAGAATTCTGAGATAATGATCCGTAGTTTTCCACCACTGGTTGTCTGCAGCAGTAAAACCGAGCGGTGTGTCAGAGATACCGATGCGCGAATACCGTTGCGTAAAGCGAATGAAAAGCTCGAGAAAAAAGTTGGCCTGACAGAGGAATATCGGATACGCATGTCCGAGGAACAGTGATAACCACGAAACTGGTAGTGATCTTCCGAGAAGTTGAGATCAATTATCATTGTACTACTTACTTTAGTATACTAGATAACCAATCTAGTTGCTAGTTTGGTCAATGTTAAATGCATCTTACCCACGAAATAATAATTTTAAATAGTGCACCTCATTGTTTGAGGTTGGCTTATCTTGAAATCATTTCCTGACATGCATGTGAGGTAATTGTAAATCAATCAATTGCGCTCGTGGTTTGTCTATCTTCTCCCTGATTTCATGTGTGTTACGAGTGCTAGGTGCTAGGGTACGACACAATTCGCGGTAGCCCACAATGACGAGGGTTTTTTTCCTTGGGAACTCTGACCATATCCTTTGACTCAAAAGTCTGACCCACACGTCAGAGAGGGGGGAGATCCAACGCGGAAGCGTGACCGAGGCAACCGTATGGGAACTTCTAGAGACCTGTCGCTCAAGGCCTTCAGGTTTAGGTTCAGCGTATTGTTTGCTGGTGCGTTGATTGTCGGTTCACTGTATCAGGGAGTTGGTAGACTCCCCGAAAACTGTTTTGTTCTTGAACAACCAATCAGAACTTAGGTGATTGGCCGGAGCCGCCAACCAATCAAGATGTTTGACAGCAATCTAATCAACCAAACGTTCTATATATGCATTCTCCTGTCCTCGCCCTTTCCTAGAAATTACTGATTTTCTTAAAATAAATAACTTCTTACACGCTTCCAGCAGTGTTCTATTCCCCTACCTGTGGAGTTCATATCTGGCCTAGAAAACGTTATCGGAAGACGACCTTTTAACAATCCAGTACCGAGTTAAATCCCCTGTGGTTACAACACGCTGTTCGGAGTTGTCTCGAGTAACCAATGAGACAAGCGGAACGTGGACGGGACAGCACCTAATTGGCTGAGGGATGCCAAACTTGGGGTGGAGGTAGTAGCTGTCTAATGAATCCATCGACCCATTTGGGAACGAAGCTCAGGGCCTCACAGGTAGTGCGCAGGCTTACTATCCATTCGACCATTGGGAATTTGATCAACCTGTTTTCGTATACACACTATAGAATAACTCAGATCAGTCAGCTTATTGAAGGCAACACGGATTGCGCATCCCATTGCTAGGATTCAAACTGCTGATGAGACCCAAACAGGTGCCCAAACCTTCCAAGCTTTTCATTCTCTGCTCACGCCAAATTTATCACATAAGCAAGTCAAACCAACCACCACTCGGTAGCGTAGTTAAGGAAGTAACCATCCGCATTCCCAAGGATAGAGCAGCTTACGCAGAACTGAAACACCTTTGGTGCATACGTGACCTGTCCTTGAAACTTAAAGATCACGTTCGCTGCACCAGTGTGCGGTCGGTTCTGTTTTAAGGTTGAGACTCTGAAATTGCAGGTAGAAGACATTCGTCGCCTGGAGGTTTTCGACAATCGATGCTCGCTCATCTAGTCTAGCGCAAGTGGGATGGAGTGAGCGGGCTAGTAACTTAAAATTAGGTCGTCGGGTGATTGGGAATGCATCGAACAAGAACTCGCTATTTCAACGAATTCAACTCAATACGCCCCGTTGGTTAGGACACGTTTTGCGTGTCCAACGGTCTCCTACAGCAGCATGCTTTCTTCGCAGTGGCTGTTGTAGGCTGGAGGAAGCCACGTGGAGGACAGCTGATGACGTAGAGATGAAGCATGAAGAAATGCACAGAGCGATCCGATAGGATCTGAAATTTCCTACTGAGCCACGCCAGCGGTAGCTTACGGTGGTATGGTCAGAGTACCCGTCAAATCGGAGAGTCAAATTGCCGTCCATCGAAAGTTCTGTCTCTGAGCAGAAACAGACGGTGATCTGCGCAAAACTGGAGACGTCAAACGCCGTTACTTATTCGGTGACAGGGCAGAGGACAACTGCCGTACAGGCAAACTTCTGATGCACTATTTTCCAATCACAGCGTAAAAATAACCAGCAGGCACAATTATATAAGAGATTCCGCTGAACCGAATCAGTTCCATTTTACACAGCCGGTCATTTACCTCAAACTTTGAACTT